GTGGACGGAATCAATCAAATATAAACTGCAACTTGATTCAACCTGGGTTCAAATTTCTTTGAGTGAGCGATGCTGAGTGGTCCCAAAATTGACAAACAGCTTGCTGTCAAGTACTCCCTCGTAGTTTACGATGCTTACTTAAATGACGTCTAACTACGTTCATCTTTCACACTGCTGTTCATTGAAGTATAACTGATTGTCACACTATTCAACTTTAAGTAGTCTAAGTATTTTAAAAGTGTGAAGCATGCTAGTGATAATTCTATCGGAGCTTATATGTCTACTTAAAATATTTGAATCCTCATGTGCTGGTTTACAGTCACAAGATTATGACTGTTCGAGGACAGAAGACTTGACATTAGTAAACAGTAAAACAGAAAAGCAGAAAAGTATATCTTCCAGGTTTTCTGTATGTTTTCTTTCATAAATGACCTATGTCCCTTCTCGAGCTGTACAAAGAGAATTAGGTCTAATTTGCTTCCTAATGTTAGTATTGGTGTGGTAACCTTATTCTCAAGAACACTACGAACATTTCCGGAACGACCTGTTCCTTCATACAAAACTGAGTCCTCTTTGTGTCGACGTTGTCTTGTGTGTTCCGTGTCGTACTTTGAGTGTCGCATGAGATGGCCAGTTTATTTTTAGCTTCATTATACATCAGGTAATTTCTGTTAGCGAATTAATAAAATAGCCAGCAATTATGATAACAACAAGCGCAGTAGTCATAGAATAAATTGAGATGAGTGTCTTTAAATTTACTTGCTCCTGCAGAACTAGTTAGGCTGTGTAGAAATCAACATATTCTTTTTGAATTAAGAGCGCTTCACGCCATCGCCAATGGAAACTAGTGTGCTTCAAAACGCTCTACATTTTAAATTTCTTTCTCAGTTTTGTTGTTCTTCCGTATCTTGTGAAGGCAGAAGAAATTCCATGATAATTCATGCTTTTGTCGGCATTCAAATTTCAAACCTTCAACACACAGGTTTTGTGTGAAGAGACATATGTCAGAAAGGAAGCTCAAAAACTTCTGAATCTACAGTTGAATTGAAAACGTATCTTCTTTTGATTCCACGATGGCCCATGGGATCTCGTCTGCTCCGCTCTGACCATAGATATCAAGTGTGCATCGGCGACGGCTCGAACCCTGGACCATGTGCTTGGTCGGCGAGAGTCCTAACCACTGTGCGCACCGACGCTCTTGTTATTGATAACGTTTCTCCCAGTAAACGAATATTCATAAATACCTATGGTGTTGTCAACAAATAGAAGTGTTCTTGTGTGTTGACACAGCAAGTGAATGACTGATTACAGTGCGAAGTGTGTCTTTCCTGTAGAGTTTAATTTTGTCATGAACAAACATTTACAACATGGAACCGCTAAAAGCAGAGAGGATCAGACGTTTTATTGGGCAAAGCTAATTATTTTGTTGAACTGTCTCACAGAAATAATCACAATGAGAAACTGGAATTCATGAGGAGTCTGTTCATCTTAACTGACCAAATCAACTACGTCTCTGGGAATAATTATACGCAAATTTATTGGAATTCGTTGTCTTGCTTATACGGTAGTATTTCGGATATATTGAGTACACCTCCATGCTGCTGAATACTAATTCAAATCAAAGTGCATTCAAGCGACTTGCTGCTTCTACAATGTCATCTTATTCATATAGTTTATCATCAAGTTACTTTGATAAACGGGGTATTTCAAAGACGCGACTATGTTCATGAGCATAGTTTCAGTAAGGTACGTTTGATTGACAGGTATCAATGAGAAAGAAGTCGATCAACGGAGTGCAAGATGAAGACATGTAGTCATTGACACATTTATTGAAATGATCAGATATTCTGCCTGTTCAACAAATCAAGCACCTGATTTTGATGCCTTATTTCAAAAGCAGTTTATAAAGTGTACAGTCTTTCATTAAACAGTTGAGCAGTAGCCTGTAACATCTCTTAGTTTGTTGATTTCTGTTTCATCGGCAGATAATGTTGTCTGTTGGCAAAACGTCTCCATTTGTCATTTTCTCTGTGTTGCTATTCAGCTGGCTCCACCAGTATGTATAGTGCCCTCTCCAATCTTGACATGATTTCCACATGTCATCGTCGAACTCACGATCAAATCGCCGTTAACTGTTCAAGATACAGTTGAGCATCGGCCTGGCTTGCGATGTGCCTCTCTCACTTACTGAACGTGTTGACCATGCGGCTGACGCATGGTGAAGAAGTGAATGACCTAATGTTTATGCGGAAAACGCGAAACTTGTTGTTCAGATTGAGGCGAGTGCAGACGATTTCCTAAGTGATTTGAGGTGATGAATGTGTGTCTTTCATTTTCGATTATGGCTTGTCTTCTTATCCTCATCCATGTTGTTGCAAGTAGTTGAAATACTTCTGCTAAAGTAACTGAATGAAGACAAACTGACGGAATGCGTCGATTACTTCAAATAATGGTTGGATTGACCATCACACGCAACTCGTTCAAAATTAAAACAACACGTACATGGCGAGAATACACGAATACGTGGATCCGATAAAATATAAAGAAGGTCTTTACAGCACACATGATTCATGGCAACCATCACGAAAGATGAAAGGCTTTTAAGTAAAATACAACAATCTGGCAGGACAAACTGACACTCGAGAAGGGAGCTTAAGAAAACATCGTGAATACTCAGGTTGTGGAGAACCAACTAGCAACAAACAAAACAAAATCCAATCCCTATCAACCGAACAAATTTGAGATAGGTCACTTAATTTACTCACTCAGGAACCATCGTTTCAATTATAGACAGTCGGTTCTGATGGGATGTGGAAACGTATGAACTGGTGGCGTGAGACAAACCATACGTACACTTCTAACCAATTAGAAAGGCAGTTGCAGACTTTGATCGCCACTTCCATTCTGAAGTTCGGATGGCCAGCTGCCCAGAAGTCGATCTCAACAAGAATCTCAGGAAATGAATCAATTGAGAGACGTTGGCTCAAGAAGGATTTCAAGGCAACTGAGTGGTACCCTACAGAGAAGTGAAGATTAGAGCATGGATCAAAGGTTGATATGGAGGCGATCGTGTGAGTTGGAGGGGATGAGAGCGTATGAGCAATTGTGGAGCCAGCTGGAGATGAATGCAGAGAACAGGACAACATGAAGATGTGTTATTTCACTCGGAATTCAACGCAACAATACTAAGCAACAGCATAAATATGAACAGGGGTATGGACATTCAGCCATCACATTTCATGTCAGGCGAAGAATAATGAATGACATATGACATTAGGGGATGAGGAAAACAATGAATCACTATGATAGGCAATCAACGATATGAAGTGAGATAATGTAGGTAATTATCTAAGCTGAACAATGAAATAGTCAGCAGAGAATATTATGAAAACAAGATGACTGTTGAATATGACGCACATAAAAATTGTGCACAGAGTGAAACAACAACACCAGGAGGGAGTGTGAATGCATCACGAGTGAAGTTTCGCAGTATAATGAGCAGAAAAGTGTGAACTTTCGAAAATCGTGTTCCTATTGAAATACTGGCAATCGAATGACTTATAATTCCAGCATTGATAATTATGTAGTTGCTTGTTGATGCACATAAAATAAAGTTTGACATAGAATACTGCCTGCCTGAGAAGAGTGAAGTAGTGGAGAGCATCACATGGTTTGAGTTAGGGGATCAACCCGGAAAAGCAAAGGCATCAATCGGGAGGCTGGAGTAAGGCATAAGGAGAAATTGATTGATGTTCCATCCTACAATAAACTCAGACATAAGTGGTGAACCTGCCTAACACTGATATTGGCGTAGCGCAAATCGCCTGCATACAAAATACAAATATACGGTATTCTGTGTCTGCCTACACCTTGTTTACATTTCCTAAATGTCCATGATTTGCTGGTGTGAAAGTAATAATCGCTCGTGGACATGTTGCTTGTCTGCACGATTCATCACTTATTCAATTTCTTCGAAAGAAGAGAAAATGTTAGCGCATCTCACCAATATATGGCATCATATTTCCTACAAACCGTGTAAACAAACCATCATAATCAGGAAACAACAAATATTTTTGATTGGACACTAGTAAGTATCTGCTGCGTTGTATTTGTCTTGATTTATTTTTCATGCAAACTGAAAGCTTTCAATCAAGTTTGCACAGTGACCACCAATTTAGTAGACATACCATCAAGAAACGCTGATAGTTGTTGGTATGAGACGGTTGGAGGCGATCGGCAGGAAGACTTGTATCTCGGTTTCGTCATCAAGGATAGAACTGGACACACACCCATCTCACCAGACATTAACTAGTGTCCAGTAGAATATAACGCAATATCGATGACTGAGTTACGGCCTCATCGGATCAGTTGATTTACGAAATTTTTGCATTGTCAATTCGATGTAGTGTGTATGTGCGGTCCTTAGCCCCCAATGACCGTTGATAACTGTGTGTAACACCAAGAAATATGCTACTTTGTAATCCTCGACCTCCTAGAAAGCATGGAATCCCGGATGCTTATCAGAAATTAGATTATTATTTCCAATCTTGACACCAACCCTGAAGCATAGAACACAGGTTGTACAAATAGAGCGTCATTAAGGCTTCGTAATCAGCTGCATGAACAAAGTTATCGTCCATATATTCATCTGGTCCTAAGTGACAAGATACAAGACGAGGATAGTTGTGAATAAGGAGGGTTAGGAGTTTGGAATTCCGTTATGGTTAAATTTTGTTTTGATAAAGTCTCACAGTGTTATACAGTAATGTTTACTGATGACCACGTTTCGAGCACAATTTATTGCTCATAATCATATCAAGGTAATCACACGACTTCCTAAATTCATTTATATAGTTCCATTGTTTTTCTCTTGATTTTCACTTGATTTGATTGGTAATAGTATTTTCCATATTTCAGGTATGAGTGACGAGTCATTCCTATTGCATGTGTTGGGTGTAGACTAGATGAACAAGGATTCAGTAATCAACCTCTCTCTCCACCTACCTAGATTACTTTTTAGAATTTTAACCCTCTCCCACCCTATTGTGTGGTTGTGTGTTAGCGCATGCATTGCAATTGCTGAGCTTTTTTCTAAATTACTTATCTTCTCGGGGTCAACCATTCTTACCTTAGCTAAATTTTTATGCTCTGACAATCTGACTACTTCTGACCTACTAGTTTGACCTATGTAGTTGACCTCACAGTCATTGCATGGTATTTTGTAAATAATATTATTTTGTCTAATTGGGTCAACCATGCAATGACTGTGAGGTCAACTACATAGGTCAAACTAGTAGGTCAGAAGTAGTCAGATTGTCAGAGCATAAAAATTTAGCTAAGGTAAGAATGGTTGACCCCGAGAAGATAAGTAATTTAGAAAAAAGCTCAGCAATTGCAATGCATGCGCTAACACACAACCACACAATAGGGTGGGAGAGGGTTAAAATTCTAAAAAGTAATCTAGGTAGGTGGAGAGAGAGGTTGATTACTGAATCCTTGTTCATCTAGTCTACACCCAACACATGCAATAGGAATGACTCGTCACTCATACCTGAAATATGGAAAATACTATTACCAATCAAATCAAGTGAAAATCAAGAGAAAAACAATGGAACTATATAAATGAATTTAGGAAGTCGTGTGATTACCTTGATATGATTATGAGCAATAAATTGTGCTCGAAACGTGGTCATCAGTAAACATTACTGTATAACACTGTGAGACTTTATCAAAACAAAATTTAACCATAACGGAATTCCAAACTCCTAAACCTCCTTATTCACAAGTTTTGCACAAGTTTTATTCTTATATCAATTAGGAGTTTGGATTTAGAAAATTTCTCACATGGTTTCAAGTGACTGTGGTCAAATCACTTGCTTTCCACACAGCCGTGAATACTAATGACAGTATGGCTTGGTTCTTCCTAATCAGTACAGAAAATATGAATTTGCTGTGTGTAATAAAGAACGGTCAGCGGGCTGCGACAGTGTATAAATTCAGAATTTAGAGGTTGAGTGATTGCTACCGGATTTTCGTATCTGGTTAGTACAATCGGTGAGATTTAAGGTTTACTTATAAATCGACAATGCATGTGATGATGGAGGAACGTAAAAGAAAAGGACCATATCAACGTATTTCACTTAATAATTTATCACTAAAATCCATGCTAGTCTACCAGCATCTTTTGAAGCGACCAGTCCCCGAAGATCACGTTTGTGCATTCTGTTGAAGTAAACTGCCGGTCGTTTGGAGGGATTTACTGTGAGACCACTTAGCTACGACCACTGACAAGCCGTTACTGACAGTGAGACAGTTAGGCCATCAGCATATCAAGTGGAGTTGATTCGTTGTGAAAAGGTCAACTCATGTATGTCGAAAGATGCAATATTTAGCATTCGCCCAATAGCAAAAGTGATCTGTTTAACCACATGTTCACAACAAGACCATAATGAGATTCTCAGTGATTCCAGTTTTGTTAATGAATTCACTCGCATTTAATATTGCAAGCGAATAAGAAATACAGCGGAACGATTGTCAGTGAGGATTCTTGAATATCTTTGTTACAGTCTACATGTAGGAGATTCAACTCAGATCATCAGCGGCACGTCTCAGCACATTACTGAAACTAAACACAATGTCGACATATTGATAGGTGTGGGTTTTTTTGATTTACAGCTTGATTCCACACTGTATTTTTGGTACCAGTATGGAATTTACAGCATGGAAATCAGTAGCGCAAATTTTCCAGGCCAACCATAGATATCAGGTGTGAGTCGGCAGGGGATCGAACCCCAGACCATGTACATGGTCGGCAAGAGTCCTAACCACTATGCCACCAACGCACAGACAAATCACTTCACGATTATTTCAAATTCTCGCAGCTGTCGTCTTTTTAGGAATGAGGCATAAAATGTCCGCACTATAGGAGACTGTTATGTGCTTATCGCTACCTTTACAAGCAAACATGGTAAAAGTATTATTATCAGTGGCAGTCCATCAGTATCTTAGCCAGTGTCAATTCGTAAAATCGAACGTGTAAACCGTGCGTTACTAAATCCACCTTGAACAAAATGCATGTGAACAATGTAAGCTATAGCACTCAAAGTCGTCAGACCCACGCATGCAGTATGAAGGGGCTGATCACTTATGCTGTCATCCTCTTTCATGAAACGAATTTGTGTATAAATGTGATTGTACATAAAAAGTGGAAAATAGCTTCACCCGGAAGTGTCAATACTCTGAACTATGTGCTCTGTCTCTATTCGATGTCTGCATGGGGATTATTCGAATTCGCCGACACACACTTGTTTTGTACGGGAATAATCAATCCAATGTGCATGTCGCATTCCCCCGAGATTTCGGCGGTTCCATATTGTAATTGTCTTTTCAGAATGAAAACAAACGCCACATAAACGACACACAGCGTACTGATATCAACCATTCAGTGATAACCAAGCATACTAGAACACTTCATATTTGTTCATAACACGAAAGAAATTTATGAATAAACATTTATTGAAGAAGATCTAATCTACAGAAAGAGGAAGACAAATACTCAGTATTCAGAAAACAAAGCGTATCCAGTTTTACTAACATATGAGAAGAGTTTTTGAATAAACACATTTGAAACTTTTGTTGAGTTCTACTATAGTTATTATTTGTAATTTTGCCATTTTCTCTGCATCTCCGATACTGTTTTGCACGGTCATACTCCATGTGCTGACTCTAGTATTATCGTATCAGGTATTGGCATGTTGGGGTGATGAATATCCCAGCCATTACACATCCTGGAGAAAGAGGGAGAGAATGAGAGATGAGAATTAAGTCATGAGTACACATCAGAATCAGTTGTGTTAAATCCAATGTTCATGAATGCATTGTAGAGAATATAGAACCACATTTCTAGAATCAGAGGCATTTGTGTTAGTGACTATAGATATATTATCACTTCTAGTGTTGTTTGTTCCGCACAGAAGTGAATGCGTCTGGGACAGAGACTAACATGTGGCGAAACGATTGTGCACAAAAGAAACGAGGTTGGTTGGATATAAGCAGTGGAGACCGTTGATTGATATCACACACAAGGTTATTACCGACTAGTGCTTGCATAGGCCATCCTGAAGTGGATGGGTGCCAGTTAGGTTGAGGCTATCACCTATGCATACCTGTGTGTTTTGAGGAAAAAAGAACCTATGGACGATCGTCCAGCCACATGAGGAGGATTTTGCAATTGATATGCCAATTGAGACATTTCATGAGTTCCTTCTGATATTTGTCTCATCACACGAAATCCATGCTGAATATCTTAAAGTTGACGTCACACACCTTTCTCTCCAAACCAGCATAACATCTGATGGTATTCAATCTGCTTTTACACTGGTTTATGTGTAACTAGAAGGTTGCGAAAATTGATGAGCGTGTTCAGTATCAGATGAGAACTGTTTGGCCGACTGCTTGCGAGTAATCATGTGCCTATGGACAATTATGTCAGTTAGCTAAGTCAAAAGCAGCACACCTACAGCTTTACTTTCAGCTTAAATTGCTCTACGTAATATGACTCAGCCTGATTTTGAGGAAACCATGGAAGCATGAGTGGGGCGAAAAATGAAGAAGAATGAGCCAAAATATGAGTAGATCAACAACCAATCATCTCAATTAATTCTAACACTACTGTTGTTGTTAATAATGTTATTTATAATACTATTGTCACACATTATATACATTTCTTCACAGGAATTACATGTGGTATGAAGCCATTGTATTTGACACCACAAGAACGATACCGCACACAATACAATAACGGCACAAAGAGGCCTCAGCTTTCTAGGCGATAGAAAGCTCTTTCGAAAATGTACGCAGCATTCTTGATAATAAGGTTGGCATATTTATGAAACCATTGTCAGGTAATTAAAATATAACTGAACATATATATTACAAATAAAAGAAGACTCACAGAGAACCATTACGAGTTCCTCCTCGTTTTACTTCCTCAACCTGAGTTGCTTTCTTCATGTCAACTCTCCATGTACAGCTAGAACCTTGCACAATAACTTCGTATTCATCATTCAAAGTGAATGTGCCCCCCTCTAATTCTATAACCTGTTTTTTACCTTGAAATAAAAGAAACACAGACACATTTTAGTGACTTACAGGTAACGTTTGAATTTTCTACACGTTGATTAAGTTCTTGATTCACGTGAAATAACTAATTATCCAATGGTCAGTTAAGTTTTGAATTTCAGTCGTTAGAGATCAGGAATGAGAATTTTTATGTCACCGATTCGTATCCGCAGCAATAGTGAATTTTGTTTCACCTATATTCGTAGCACATTTTATGCAAGTGGTATTCTGTCAGTCCATGACCATTCCATGAATATCTTAACATCTTGCAAAGTAAAGGAGACCACTGGAACATGTCATTCTTATCTGCAAGCTTACAGTAGTGACAAGAGAATATATTTTGAGGATTTACCCGTAATATTGATCAATAAACTGATATGGAGTGGGACATCCAGTGAGATAAAACCACCGAATTTCAAATGAAGCAGCAGGCTCATCCACTCTATAGCCACCGGCTATACAACAAGTCATCAGTTCTAATTCATTTTTCAAATCATAACTGCTAGTCAATATTGTCAACCGGAATCTGCCATTATGCTGATTTTCATGAATATTAATCAACAAGACTTGGCACTAGGACTGCAGACAGAAATTCTGTTGAATATCAAAGTCGAAAGAAATCAATTCACTGCATAACTACACCTGAGGACTTATATAACTCAAGTGATCCTTAGATTTCTAACTCTAGTCCAGCCAGCGTTCTTTGCTTGCTGAGAAGATTTAACTTCACTTGACTTTTTCTTGTATAAATTATCCATACTTCACTAAATAACTTACATAATTGGCAATCAGCTGTTTCATCGTATTTTGAGTGTAATCATCATTTCGCACTCAGAGGAATTTTAAACAATGTGGATACAAGTTAGAATTCATTGTTGATTGAGTCGAGTTACATTGGCTAAATAGCGTGTGAACTAGCCTGCCTTGTAACCGAAAGGTCCTGATTTCGAGCTGCTGTAGTGGGCGCGTGCTGCCGATGCGTTTTAAACTGAGCTGCCAATCTGAGGCACGATATTTCTCCCTTTATTCCACCAGCTCTCCAAAATCATGTCAATCCGTGGTACTACTCGCTAACTCTTGAGAATCAGCGTTTTTCAAAATCTCAAGGAACTGTATATTTTTTTTTATGTGAATATGTGCTTGTACAGCTTGTGACATGAAATCATCCTTGCTGAGCTTTCTTTTCTCTTCACCATAATATCGTGATAGTGAGTGCTTTCTAGTACGTACAATATCCAGGTTGACATGTTACTGTCAAAATAAGAGAGTCCTAACTTATCTTGCTCCGCGTGCAGGATATTTCCTATTCGAAGAATCAGTGCCCAGAGATTTGTAGAAATGCAGTGTTTGTACTTTCACACTATTTATCTCACTCTCTGAAGTCAAAATACGAATTATGCGGAATTTATAGATTGACTGATTTCGACTGTTATCAGTTCATACGAGAGACTCAATCGTTGGTCAATATGCTCGACACCAAATCTAGGCTAATACAGGTAGAGGATGGTAGTTTCAGGGTAAGCGAAATGGTTAAATGTGAGTTAACAAAGAGCAATATATCATCTACTCAAATGTATACTGCTGAAGATACGAAGCAAAACAAATACCATTTGGATGATCATGAAGCGAAATGTATTACCACGTTAATTGGCCGAATAGATATATGAGCTTGGACAAGACATTATGCCAGACATTAAAATAAAGCGATTCGTTACTGTCACGTTAAAAACGTGCGTAGAGCAAACCCACTTATAATTATGATGTTATCTAGTGTTAAGATTGGAAGATGCTTTCAACAAGACCTCTCCACATTACCCCTGTAGATGATGTTCTCTTCGGCACGATTGTCGACAACCTCTCATCTCCCCACCGCATCCTATCTCACTTATTTCTACCCCTGACAAATGCACGAATCTCCGTTTCACGGATCAAACTTTGTTTCCTTCTGCGTATTTCTTGAACAATAGGTTCTTCACTGGTTTCTTCCCGCAATTTCGTTTTTTCCAATGAGAGTTGGAGCACTTTCTGAGGTTCGATGAGGGGTTACGGAAGACAGCTGTTGAAAACAGTCTGCAGCTGATTGTTCCAAGTACTCCTCAATAATCGTGCACCAAGTTTATTACCCATAAAAGAATGTGCCTGACTGAAATGCGTCAACTACATGATAAACACTTCGACTCAGTCTGAGGCTCTTCACCAGTATGCACATATCATCCCATCACGAATGAGACCAAAGGATTGCAGATGAAAAGATGACCTCAGTCACTATTCATTCTCCAGAGGAGAATCCATTTGTCAGTGCATTGTCCATTCTTCTAATCGGCGAAATATAGCACCACTACTACCCAATCTTATCATCGATGAGGATGTGTTCTCACAGAGGTCGGTAATCCTCATTGGAATGTAGAATAATTTCATCTTGGAGTGTGTTAGTCAGTCACCGGTATGGGGTCTCCCGAATTCCAAGGAGTGATTTGTTTAGATGTGGTATAAGCGGTGAAACAATAAATTGATTCAGTCATTACACACATAGAGTTAATTTGAATTACCTGATTTATCAACCTCTATGTTATAGGTAATTTCATCTGATTCAATCGCTTCAAAATTGACTATGCACAGACTGATGAATATGATGAAGTTCAATTTTGTCATCTGAAACACCATTTCACTGAAAATAGATAACAAAAGGAAGAACAATGACATTGAATTTGATGTCATTTGAAATGAATAACAGCAAGTGACTTTTACAGTTGCTTCGGAACATTCGGAGTAAAAATCACATTTCTCAGTTTGCTCTTCTCTAGAGTCTTTTGCAATATGACCACTGCTCATCATCCCCAGACCACACCATTTCCCTAATTTCACCATCAGACCCGTGCACACCTAGTCGTTTCTGTTTTATCTGGCAACTGAAAGACGGTCTGGTGCGTGAGAGACGGCATCAATATTTGTAAATACATGAATAACACTCATGATTATAATGTGTTCAACGTTCTTCAGGCTAGGTGGCACTGTGGAAAGACGTATGCGGATTACATGTCGGATGCTGATCAACTTGGCTGCCTAATACATGAAATTCAAAATTGACTTATTCATCATCTAATGTGATGAAATTAAGCCACACTGATATGCTGGATTATCTAAATAGTAATCAAAGATACAAGCATATGCGCATCACACCGTATACTGATTGATTGAGACACACAAGAATCAACAAAACGTGCATGCCTCTTAGACAGCTAAATTGATGTGACCTTCACACTCAGAGGCAGTTACTCCCATTCAGACCTTAAATCATCAGCGGCGAACCTGGTTCTACTCGACTCAGGCAGATCTGATAATTCAAACATTCCAGTTTCCAGCTTGCTTTACAGCTTCAGTTAAGTCAAACCCTGTACAAAACTGACCATCTTCGCAAAACAATTATTTGGAGTTTTAGTCACTTTGATCATGTTGGCCAGTGAGCCCGCCATATCAATAAATATGCAGTATGATAACATCGTTCACGTTCAATTGCAGGTGCCTATACAAGCCTTACTACAAATGACGCATATAATATTAGCAAGATTCAACTCAAAAAGCATGGAAGGAAGATCAAAATGATATAATGATAGACACAGTGCCACAATCGACGTGAAGTCAGTAGAGAAGAAGGAGGATTTTCACACACAACTGCAAGTAGTGATGTAAAACATCCCATATGGTGACAACAAGCTTTTCATGAGCGATAAGAATGCAGACTGTACAAGAAGACAACTTAACAAACGTTGGGAGGCTCGCAATCAGTGACGTTTCTCCTGCTAGTAAAAAGTGAAGTAGTAATCTCTGAAAGCAAATGGAGTTGGGCTGACGCAATAAAACCTAAACACTCAGAAATTGAACGAGAAAACCACAATAGATGCACCCAATACAGACCACATTATGTCAGAACAAAGTCGGAAACACTTCGTGGTAACAGCGATGAAACCTGCGTGGAATAACATTGCTACAAACTCCTTGAAGGTGGTATTCAAGTAAATGCGGACGGTTATTCTGGGAAGATGGTAGTCAAAAGACAAAGAAAGGCTTTCGACGGACACCTGGAAGTTAATACAAGAAAGGAGAGAAGAGAGGTGAAAGAGAAAGTGACTCAATAAAAAGATAGGCCACATGATGAAAAACTGAGTTCAATGTGCACTGCAATGAATAGAGCATTGAAGAAGAATGCTAGGAAAGACAATTGACAATTCTACAACGCACTGATTGGCAAATGAAGCAGGACAGGCTGCAGTTTACTCCAAAAATACGGTGGAGATATGTGAGTATAACATTTTCACGTCGTTGTAAACAGAACATATCTATCACCAGCTTCTTGACACACACAGGAACGAACAAACTTACTTGTAAATAGAATAAAGTTGCATTTGAATCGGAAAATGAACAAGGAGAATCAGCTACCCTGTTAAATTGTAAAATACAATAAATAGAAGATGGTTAACGTCGAACTATCGTTTATTGAAAGCCAACGAATTCCATTAGGTGTTTATACCTTAATTTATCTAATCCGTTGTTTGCCTGCGTTGACTGGCTTAGTAAAGCTTTATTATAAATTACATAATAAATTATGCATATATATAAAACTTGGACTCACCCACAATGTATTCTGAGAAGTCACCAGCTAACTTCATACTGATGGAATATTTTGTTGGACTATTAATACCTATAAGAAATGACACCATTTAACTCATTGGCTTTTTCCACTAACCAATCAAATACTGACAGCATTCGTTTGATTTTGTTTGTGTGATGTGTCATTATTCAGTGACGTGTTGATTCAAGAGGCCTAAATATAAAACAGTGATGGTATTTGGGAAGGGAATGTAAATTTTTGATCATCACTGAGATTATTATTTAGATTTGAACAAATGTATGATTTATGTTAGAAAATGTATTTTACTGGGGCACATTCATTATTTCATATCAACTAGATATTACAAGAAGTAACATAGTGGTTGGTAACCAGTCGTAGAATCAATGATGCTCTTGATGCACTTTGCAGGAAAAAAGGTGGTGGTCGTGGCCTCAGTATGTGTAGATAAAGATGCATTTTTCCTGAATCTTTGAAAGCGTGTGTTCGTGTTGGTTGACCCCTAGTTAGGCGTTCATGTTCAGTCACTCTTATTTTGAGTGATCTGGACGTTTTACCAATATATTTGGTTTCGCACTCAGCACAAGATACTTTGTAAACCATATTGATATTATCCATGATTTTTATGTTATCTTTCAGTTCATTCATTTTAATTTTAATTAGATTCATCGGTTTAAAGGTTGTGCAAATCCTAATACTTTTGAGGATTGTTCGAACTGGGTCTGGTGTACTACTTTTTACGGGATTGTGCCAGTTTTTTTGCATTATTCCATCTTGCCATTCTCCGGTGTCGCCCTATTCCATCCCACTTTTATATTATCTTTGAAAAATTCTTTTGAGTATTTGTTGTCGAGTAGCATTTTGAATAAGATATTTATTGCTTTACGCTGGTCCTCTAGTGTTGTTGTAAGTCTACGAAGAGTGTGATCGTAGATCTCAAACACGAAAACTCATGTTATCGCAACAAATATTCTCATATGTGCTGAGTCTGTAAACAAACGGATTCAGTGAAAAATTACGCTTCCACGAAAGTCACAATGATATAAATATACTTGAATCTGAGAATTCGATTTCGTTCATCTCATAAACTGGCACATGCACACTGAATGTTTCACTGGAAACATGAGACAGCCTTGCGCTCAGGCATAAATCGTTGTTGACACACTCTAGTGACGTCCTGGTTCTAGATGTCACCCGACTCTCTTCCGTATGTGTGCTTAATCCATCATCATGTTCTTCCGAATATTCGTTATAAAATTTTTTAGAAGTTGACTGGTTTTCAAGCTCCTCTCTTGCGAATTGTTTCTGCTTGGCCATCAGATTTCCACTCAGGAGCCAGGAAAAACAGTGCTAAATGTATATAATAGACGACTAGCTCTCTGAACAAGCTTCTCACCTATGTAGTATACATGAATAAAGTAACATAGGTACTCGAAACTCCATTCTCTCTCTTTAGGCTGAAGTGGCGTGCAGACGAATCGCAAACTGGTTCTAGAATGAAGCTGTATTTCTTGACTGCCAATTGTGGATGATTTTGACACCCTCTTTTGTGCACTTGCACACAATAGAATCTGTCGAATTGACGCTTCCTATGAAATCAAACCAAGTGACGGACTTCAGAATGCAAAAGAGAGTGATAACCTCGCTTGTTTACTAGTTTGCTACATTTCTGGCCGATCTCAAACCTTGAGAGAGAGGTGGAGAATGGCGTGTAGCTAGAATCCCTACCTCGATAAACAACCAAACTGATAACGAAGCGTCAATCCACAATACATGACAATAATTCTCCGTGATCACAATTTCATAATCGTTAAAGTTGAGTGTGAAAGGTCACCTGACTCTTCCAGAGGTACTCGCATTTCCCTCTGATATAACACATGCATTCATGATATATTAAACGGTAAGCATGTGTCAAAATCTCCAGCAAATTATCATCAGAGGATGACATTTGAAAACACTAAGATTTGAATTGATCATATCATATCACTTTTGTGTTGAGGTCATGCATAAACACGAATTGGTAGAGGTTGGAATTCATGAGCCATTGAATCCTGTCTCAGTGTTTGAATTTCACTGTCTTTACCAGGTTGGTCCCGGTTTCTAACCCAAGTTGGTGCCTACTTCTGATGATTTCCACATTAGGATGTAACATCTGTATAGTACTGCCTGGTTATCAACGTTTCTCTAACTGATATTAACCCTTGAAATGCTGCTAAAATACAAAACTCATCCTTTGAAACCAAACTATTCATAATTAAACTCCAGGCTGTTGACAGTTTTACTGAATCACCTTTGTTACATGTATCCGGCGAGATATGATTGAATATGGAATATGTTTTATGTCTCTTCTTCTTTCATTTGTTCATACTTGTCTTCAGAATGCAAACATTGTTCCAATCGATATTGTGCAGCTATAGATGAACTTCTTTCTATATTCTTGAATGCTTGTGTTCCCTTTGGCTGACCTTTATTTAGGCGTTCATGTTCAGTTACTTGAATGTTTGACCCTACATATTTGATCGCACACTCAGCACAAGATACTTTGTAAATCACATTGTTTCTATTCATCTTTTTTCATGGTATCATTCAGTTCATTTATTTCATTTTTAGTTAGATTTGTCGGTTTAAACTTTGAGGGGTTCTTAATGTTATTGAGGTTATTTATTGAACCTGATGTGCTCTGATGTATCATTTTTTTTCCATGCAATCGTGACAGTCGTCTGCATTATTCGATCTTGTCATTCTCCAGCTTCTCCCTAGTTTTCTCATTTTTATATTATCTTTTATAAATTCTTTTGGGTATTTCTTGTCGATTAGCACTTTGAATAATATTTTTGTTTCTTTACGCTCTGCTCTGGTGTTGTTATTAGTCTACGTATTCTATCTACAAGACCTTGTATCGATCCTCGTTTTATCTTGATTGGATGAGCTGAGTGACACACAAGGAATATTCCAGAGGTGCTGAATTTTGATACAGCATCGTTTTCATGCTATCATCAGTTGCTCTTTGTATTTTGCAAGCTGACGGAGGCAGTTCCCCAATTTCATTATCCGTTGCATATTGAATTTTATTGAGTCAACATGTCTGTTAATGTGCTAGAAGAATTTCTCAACATTGTATTTTTCTTCATTATTACTAACGTGTCGTCTACATATCTCCACCAACATTTTATTGATGATCTGAACGGTTTAAATGCACCTTATTCCTTAACATTTATGAATATGTCAGCTATAATTGGTGAGATGTGCGACCCCATAGTTAATCCTTCACTTTGTTGGCATATTTTTCCTTCAAATGTGAAATGTGGTGTTGCCATAGAGAATTCCACCCATTTCACCATTTCTTCCACTACTAACTACTTTTGCTCTATACTTCATTGTTTTGTTTGTGGTTGTTTCTGATGGTTTCGTTATTAGGGTTCTGGGTCCAGATGGAAAATGTCCATTCATCTTATCATTATACGTTGTTTTCTTGTGCAGTACTGCTGTATTTTCTTTTTCCACTTAATTAATGCTTATAGGTTTTTCTGATTTTATGTCTTGGAGTGCTTTTAGTTTCTCCTTAGTTACATTTGGCGTTTCCGGTTTTTGCCCTCTTGAGGTTAATCGACATTACGCACATACCTATTCTGCTTTTTGCTTGTCATGTCCTCCAAGTGCTGTTTTAATCACAGGTTCTAATCTTTTTTTGCTAATATTGAAGTACATCCGTTTCATCAGTATGCGTTCTTGTGCTTTTGTTAGCTTTCTGTCTGACATATTACCAATCCAAATAGTTTTCTTTATTTGTCTATCATTCGGATTAGTCAATTTTTTTGGATTTGTTTCTTCTTTGTTTCTTCATACGTAGGTACTTTTCGTTTCTATGAAAATTCTAGTATGCTTTCTTACATTTCTTTTTCAATCGCTCCTTTCAATTTTACTTTTGTTTCAGTGATATCTTTTCTTATTGTAAATCAATTACGTGTAATACCATATCTCCTCCCCACCATCGTTGGACAAACGCATATCACGTCCTTCTGAAACTCCGCTGGCACTCGAGCGATGGCCTAGCACACAAGAGACGCATTCACCTATGAATGATGAATAAATAGAATTCATGATTGTAATTTGTTTAACATTCTTCAGGCTAGTTAGCAATATGAGAACAAGTATGCGGATTACTTGTCAGATGCTGATCAACTTGGCTGTCTAGTGAATGAAATTTACAATTCAATTCTTCACAGTTCACTGTGTGCAAATATAACAAGGTTTGATTTACAAACACAGTGAAATATGTGATCTGCTCGATACGCTAAATTGTAATAAAAAAGAAAAGCATATATTCACCCAACCGTATTTTTCTGACTGACAGAGACGGGTAGTTGTATGACATACGAACATCCAGACACACGCATACAAAAGTCAAGCAGTAATGCTCGCCAGTTAGCCAGCTAAATTAAAGTGAACATCTGTCTCCCTCATTTCGGAATTAGCTCATCACTGACGACTGGGTACGTCGATGACCCAAATCTGAGAGACGACTAAATTAGAACACATCAGTTTCTAGCACATAGGGCTGTTCCAGCTGCTTTTTAACCAGTACAATTTTGAGGAAGTCGAGTAAAACACTCGTAAGGTGATTAGACTACGACAAAATCACTGAGATACAACTATTCATCTGAATGAAGAAGTACTAGGATGCGTCTTGAACTCATGGTTGACTGCACAATCCCACCTACATGTGATGGATGTAATACCATGCGACCAATACAAAGCATTCTAGGACACAGTGAATCACATCACTGTCAATTAGCTACGCGAAACAT